TGTTCCTCTGTAAGAGAAAGAATCACGCTGCAATTGGGAAGAGCAGGCTGTTTGCTCACGCTTTCTTAAACACAGATCCTAGCTTAAACTTAGCAAGTTTTGTTGAATGAACTTGTAAGATCAACCTAAGAGACATTTTAGCACTTAATACCCAGTGGTTTTATCACCTTCCCAAAAGCTAAGTGGGAGGAATCCTTTTATCAAATACGTTCAGGAATCAATGAACACGAGCACTGAGCGAGATTTATGAATGAAGTATTTGTTTACTTCCAAGTCTGGATTTTTCAGTAATGGCAAGTCACAAAAATACAAAATGACAAAACACATAGTTAAGATTATACTTAACAGGAATAAGGTCTCTCCTGGCAGCTTCAGCATCGCCAAGGGCTTTCTCTTAAATTACAACTTCTGTCTCCTAACAGAAGATGATGCATGTATATCGGCAGGATCTGCCACCCTCCTACGAAGCAGCATTATCACATCACTTTTGGCTAGAGGCAGTGAGTGCTGAACGACTAGAGCTGACGTCTTCAGAGATGAAGTGAAGATCAGGGTTGCCCACCGTGGACAGCTGGCTCTTCCTGCCATGCCACATCCACGGGCTTGAGGGGATGCCAAGTCCGGCAGAGATGACCCAGGGCACAACTCCCAAGCAAAGAGGCTGCTCTTCCTGATTAGCAACGAGGCTTTTCCTCCGGAGTTTGGTCTGACATACTTCCACTCACAAACAACCTAATTTCCATATAGAGTGAGCCAGCAGCCTCACTGGAAATCTTCACGTTGACATACCTGCTAATTACCCTCAGCATAATTAAGGTGCAGTAACACAGCCTGTGTTTACTGCAGAGACAGCCAACCTGGGGCTGCGGAGCAGTGAAAACACGGTTCTCACGGTGGGGTGATTTTTCACGGCTAGCAGAGGAGCCGGGTTGGTGCAGAGACCATTGGATATCATCAGTCTCTCCTTGTGGGAGGAGATGAGCTGATGGGGTCTCATCTGGTTGGTGTCTATCCCCCAGAGGAGTCTGAACTGGGAACCTGGACACATGCCTTCCTCTTGTCTCTCTGAGGTATGTGGTGTGTTTTTTTGTGGCTTCGTGCTGTAGAATTACTTTAATGTACAACTCTCAGGGCTAGGGAATTTGGCCATCTACTGCCTTGTTATAATTTTCCAGACAATATCTGAGTGTGTCGGGGCAGGGCAGGGCAGTGGCGGAGGGAAGATGGGAGATGCATCTACCATAGGGTCATAGAAATGCTGGTTGGCAACATCAGCTGGAGGACTCTAATTCAACCTCCCGCTTGAAGCGGAAGCACTGTCAGCTCTAGACTGGCTTAGCCATGGTTTCATCCAGCTAAGCCTTGAGTCACCTCCACAATTCATCGTTTGCCATTTCCCAACATCCTGTCACAGTGCTGTACTACCCGCCTAGAGACATTTTTTATCCTGCTGTCCAACCTGCACCTCCCAAGCCACAGTCTGTGGCTGCTGCCCTTCGTTATAGTGCCTGGTTCTACCATGAAGACCTTGACTTTATTATCTTTGCTCTTCCAAGTAGCTGTAGGCAGCTATTGGGCTGCCCTTCAGCCTCCCCTTTGTCAGACTTAACGAGCCTGAATCCCTCAACCTATTTCCCAAAGATGTGTGCTCCATGCCTCAGGCCACCTTGGTAGCATATCTCGGTGCAGCTTCAAACCAGCCAAGTCTCAACAGGATTTGGGAGTCCACATACATGGTGAAATCCTGGCCCTAATATACCAGTGTCTTCCAGAATCAAAGGGGGCTTAATAAACAGGTTGTCTTAATAAGTGAAGATATTTCGTCCTCTTAAAAATATATCTATGTGAAACCACAGCATGCATTAATTTCTGTGCAGATCAGCCTGTTCACGAAATCAAAGCACAGTTGTGAGTGTTTCTATAGTTTATGAAGAAGTATGCTTTTATCACTGCGTGTTGGAAGGAAGGCAATCCCACAAATTCAGGCTCCAGAGTTGCTTTGTCTTTGGACTTTGATTTTACCTGAGGTACAATTGCAGGTGTGAGCTACTTTCCAGTCCAACCTGCCACCCTTTGATTTCCCTTGCTGTCAACCAGACCAGCAGCCAACTGCAGCAGTGCGTCACCTTGGTGCTGCTGGTTTTCTCCAGGTAAAGTTTTAACCTTGTTGGAGGTGAGTGATCTGCTGCCCATAAAGGTGAGCAAAGCCTGGAGGAGGGGGGAATGGGATGTGCTCCAAGCTTGCAGGGAAAGTGCATTTGCTCACTGAATTGCCTTGACAGGCTGTGCTGAAGGCTGTGGTTGACTATTTCGGGTACCTAAGCGATGCCGCCGTGTTGCTAAGTTGAACAAGGGAGCCCTTTGAGGGAGAAACAAACTGGAGGGATGGAAGAAAGGGGTCTCACGAGCCCTAGAAAATGCAAAAGGACAGATCCCAGATCTGTCTAAACCTCCCCTTTGGTGGTAATCTTTCATGACCCAGGCTGTGTGAGGAGGCATTACTAGGGAGACCTAGTCAGGAGTGATCTGTGCCTACTGATCCAGATGTGTGAGCATACGGCTCCTCCAGCCCTGACTGACCAGCCCTGACCTCACTGGCAGGATTTCCCCGTTGATTCAACACTAGCCTTTTTTAGTGCAGCACCATAAATTCAGCAAGAAGCCGGCGCTTCCCACCCTGAGTCATGGGGTTGAGTTTCTTGAACTTTGAGCAAACAGATTTTTTTTCCGTGGGGAAACCCATCTGTCTGACATAACCTAGACTGCATCTGCAACCACTTCTAGTCCACAAAAGGTGTTAAGACGCAGAAGCTCTCTGCTGATTTTCACACCACAGTGCAAGAACTGAGCTTCTTCCTGGGTACGTGGGAAAGAGCTGCTTTGAAAAACTGGAGACGTGCCCTCAGTGATGGTGTGAGGTGGCCTGCAAGGCTTTTCCAGATATACCCCAAAACCAGAGTCACCAAGAGAGGGGATAGATTTGTTGCTCAAGGCTTTAAGTATCTAAAAGTCTGTGACCAAGCTATCAACTTTGACTGCCTTTATACTCAACACAGAAATAAACAATTCAGTTTGAACTATTTTACAGTTTTAGATTTTACATTTGCTTAATTTGGGCTAACATCACCTTCTTCTGGAGACACCTTTGTCTCGCCATTGACTATAGGTTTGGAAATCTCTCTCTCAAACGCCTGACTTAGGATGAATGAATCCCACATAGAGAGATTTTGGGGATGAGCACCTCTTATTATTTCTTCCTGTGTGAGATTTTAATATTAAAATATTTTATGATCTCCACGTGTTGTAGGTACAAACCTTCCTTCTACATCAATATTACATCACTGCTTTTGCTGTCCACTTTTTACCTCTGCTCCCAGGCAAATATCCTGCTTTTTCCTTGCTGCTGTCTCTTCATCCATCAACACCCAACCCACAGAACTGGCGTGCATCTGTGACAAGGGGTTTCAGTTATTGCTTAATCTTCCCCAGTGGACTCTGTGCTGCTGCATGAGAATCTGAAAGTGAAAACAACGGACTGATTTTTGGTCTCCAAAGCTGAATGAAACTGAAAGAGTGAAAGTAACCACAGGCAACCCAACAGCTCTCAGCTGGTGAGTATTTGTGGCAGGGTGATACTTCATTGGTGGCAAGGAGGAGACCCCACTGCCACGTAAGTGTTACCTGCTCTGCATGCACAGGGACCGTGGCACTCAGTCTGGTGGAGTTAAGATAACTAAAGTTACCCAAATCATGTGCCAATATTTTCAGCTGAGCTGTACTATATTAAAAACACTCTTGATCCTTATGAAGAAGGGATGGATTGAAGGTATTTGTCTCTAAAATGAAAGGATTGCCTTAAGCCAGCAATAGGCGTGTTGCATAGAAGAATAGCTCAAGGTAAATAGTTTAAAATAGATAATGTACACCCGCTCTCTTTGGAGGAATTAGGTAACCTAGTAAATCTTTTACATCCTTACGTTTTCCCTGCATTTTCTCCATAAATTTGATACTTTTTACATGGCCCTGGACAAGGGTTTTGTTGTTTGCATGGGAGATGGGCCGTGTTCCTTAACAGAGAGCTGCATGGCAGAGCTGCTTTGAGACCACTTCTGGGACACTGGGGAGGGACAGAAGAAAGAGCAGCTGCCTCTTCGGGGCACCTCAAATCTTTGGTCTGACTGGATCAGTTTTTTAACCATCACTTGAAGCTCACGCTCATTCAAACACCTGTCAGGGGTGAACATACTTGGCATAGCAGTAGGGTGAGACTTGTGTGTCTCAGCATAGTGGCTGTTGCAGAAGAGTGCGCTGGCCTTGGGGTGTCTACATTCCCTCTCTGTCCTCACTCACATCAGCAGAGTACCTCCCAAAACCAGAGGTGACACCCAGGTCCAGCATCTGGACATCTTCAGGTCCTGTCTGTGGCCAAGGGATACCAGGATCTTTGCTGCCCTCTAAGGAGAACAGCCCAGAACAGCATACATCTACTCAATTCACGTCCAATGATGTTTCTCTTCCTTACATTTTGTTTTCTCCTGCCCATTTGGCTTCTGCTGCTGTGATTTACTCCTTCCTGAAGCCCTTCACTGGTCAATCTACTTAGCATCTCTTTGGCTATTCATTTGCTTCTTCCATGGGGACCAAAGACTCAAGAGAAGGCTTTGGTGACACCTTTTTTTCTGCAGTAGAAATCATGCCCTCCTCTGATGCTGCTAGTTCAAAATCCCCTTTTCCCTGCACTGCAGTCACAAGAGGTATTTGCATTTCCCTGCATCTGGACAACTACCTTATAGCTTGCCCTGCTTTGAGCAGGAGGTTGGACTGCTGTCTTCAACATCTGATAGAAAGAAAACTGGGAAAAGTATCGGAAGAACATCCTCGTGGAGAAGCCACGTCAGGACTTTGATATGCTTTCCCTAGAAAAGTGCTGCAAGTCCTGTTTCTTTTCAACCATGACATGGAAAAATTATTGGAAGCACTTCATCCATGAACCTCTGGGCTCCCAACTGGCAGAAGACTGGAGGATACATTCAGTCAGGATTTTTCGATCTCTGACCTTTACAAGTTGAAGAAATGGAGGTTTGTCTTACAGGACAGACCATGTGGGAGCCAGCCTGAAGGGGAGTTCATTGAACATCACTCACATCACCTCTCCATCCAGAAAATGCACAGTTCTGGACAGCATGTAGGCACTGCCTACACTGACATCAAAGGCAGAATAGTGCCAGTTACTAAACATTAGAGCACAATTTTTATAAAAATCAATGAAATGCAAAAGCATGACCTCATAGACCTCAGGAGTAGGACAAGAGGTTCATGGCTTCTTCTGGTTATTTCTGGTTATAACAACCAACTCATCATTACAGTATTCCTGGACTGTTACCTGTATTTTGCACACAGTAAAATTTTCCCAGATTAATTAAAACTGTGGACAGGTAGAAGAATTTGGGTTCATTCTCACTGCTCACTCATTCACAACTAAACTGGACCCATTTTCCTTCACTTCCAAAAGAAGAGTGCCCACGTAAGGATTTTAAACAGTTTCACCAGTCCACTGTAAGAGTTAAACCAGGTTAACTTTTGTTGATGACAGTTACATGGAAAAACTTGTTATCTAAGCCTGGCCTGCTGCAAATTGCTTTGCGTGGGATTTCACCACCAGGCCTTTTTAAAACTTGAACTACGTTTCCATTACATTTTTGATATCACAGAGGGGTATTGATTGTATTACCTAATTGGCTGTTTACTGTTTCACTGTGGATATTTTAAGTCCTTTTTGAAAAAATAAGAAACTTAGTGTTGACTGCCTGTCCTCTTCCTTCCTCTGTATATAATGACTTTTTGTGAGCAGCAGCACTCCATCCACGACCTGATACTTTAAAAGCAGAGGACCAACAAGGATTGCCTGCACATCAAGCTCAACACTGCAATTCTTCAGGCATGTCCATCAAGTGCTATTTTGAACTAGAGTTGCAGAATCCCATTGCTCCAATACTTTAAGACATGCTTTCAGTGGCCAAGATCTTGCACTGACAAAATGTAACAGGATAAGACCCAGAGGTCAAGGGCAGAGCTCAGGGAGTGAAATGCAGTGCAGGAACTGCTTCCCATTGATGCTTTTTACTGGGCTACCCGAGGAAGCATTTGCTAGATCAGAGCAACTGAACCCTTGGGGTTCAGCGATATATAGGATAAGACAAGCAGCATGTGGCCTGTGGACTAGGTGCCTGTATTGAAATTAAAAATTCAAGATAAAATAGTCATGGTCCCTGCAGCTTTTAAGCAAAATGTGTACAAAATATTGCCAGAACCCTTTAACTCTGCTCCAACATGCAGCTTAGGACAGTAGACCCTTCTTAGAGTCCCTGACTTTTGTCATACCCACTTCTGATTATTCTTGGTCACAGTCATTAACAATCTTTAGTCCCATTTCTCTCCACCCCACTAAGAATGTAAGAAACCAGCATCTTTCCTCCAGCTGTCCTTAGAGATACCACAGGAGGCAACCCTTCTCATTCCCCCTGTCCTCTGAGGTCAAGAAAAAGCAGCCTACCAAACTTTGATTTCTGTATCCATCCCCCCAAATTCCTTTTATCTACTCCTAAGGGGAGGAACCCTGTCTTCACCAAGCCTCCTTTCTGGGCAGATTGGGATCCTATTTGAACACGGGCTCAGCAGTGTCTGTACAGCATCAAGCAGAGACCAAGGTGTGCCCCCCTCATCTGTAAGATAGCATTAATAAGTGCTGTTACAAAGCCTTTGCAATCAGGCAAGGGAAAAATATGTAGCCTGACCATATTAATTATATTCTGAGGGGCCGTAGAAGAGCAAACTGTGTCTGAGGGGCTGTCGAAGAGCAAACTGTGAACATCTGTGTGTACTCAGAGACAGGCCGGTTGGTCGAATGCCACCAGAGTTGGTCTGCCAGGAACAGAAACACATGTAGGTGCTGCAGTAGCAGTTGCGGCACCCATCGGGAATGAGGAAACAGAAAAGGAAATCACCAGTTAACTGCTTCTTACACGTGATGCTGCAAGTCAGCAAACCTGGGAGAAATCCCGAGGAAATAGCAATTGTTACCCCATTTCTGGGCAGGCATGAAGAAATTGTCCCAGAATAACAGTAGAAATACCCTCTTTTCTGTGTGTTTCCCTTTTTATGAAAAAGGGGCAGATTTATGAGTGGGTATATATTGCAGTGGGACTCTTGAGGGATCAACCATTTCTCCAGGGAGAAGAATGAAGCAACGGTTCAGCTGCTTGTTCTGAGACTCTGCTTCAAGGTAAGCTCTTACTATTTTCTCACCATTGGCTGCAATATTTAAAGTGTTTCCTTGGCATAATAGATCAGACAAAGGGTGGGCTGCAGCTGCTGAGCTCTAACATCCCCCCTCCAAGAAGAAAATGAGAGTTTATGCATGCACTGTGTTATGCAGATCTTTAATATTTTATGCTAAGGAGGGCAAGGACATAAGGAATGACTTGGGAAATAAACTCAGGTATAGGAAAGTAAAGATCTGGAGAATATGAGACACTTAGAGGCAGAAGAGATTTAAAGAAGTTTGGAAATTGTCATGACATGAGCTAATCCCTGGTCTTTGAAAAAATAGTAAAATCAGGTGGGCTCCAGGAAAAAAAGCACTTCTGGTGATGCTCAGATCAAAACCTCAAAGAAGGAATTTTTGTTTTCCCAGAGCAAATAAACTACCCCACTATGAACTGGCACTCTCAGAAACCAGCCCCTGAGATCCCATTAGATCTGAAGCCCTCAGCAGCTCTGGCAGTGTGTCACCCATCTGGAAAGGTCACCAAAGCCCGGTGGGAGGCTCTGAAGTGGTGGCAGTGTCCCTTCTGCTCACCTGCTCCCCCAGCCAAATGTTGAACCTGACCAGGGATGCTTCAGGGAAACAATCAGCATGGGGAGCCTTGGGAATGGGCACAAGGAAATGCCTGATGGTGAACTCAGATGTTTAATTGCAGGAAAACGGAGTCTGTCTCGATTTTTTTTAATTATTCATCTTGCTGATTGCAATTTCTCCTGCCTGTCTTGGGTATCTCTTTGGGGATGAATTATTGCCTAGGCTCCAGCAAGGTCTTGGTTAGTTAAGGGCAAACACCAGGCATTGGGTTGCAGCTGAATGCCCCTGCCTGCAGCACAGGAATCTGACCGCGGTTGTATGAGATGCACTGAAGATGCTGGGTGCAGAGTCCCCTCCTGATCTGAGGGTGGCTAGTGCAGCCAAGCACTCCTTTACACCTGATCTGGCAGCATCACTTATCTTATGAATTTCTGGCTGTCAATACAGCACGCACCAAGCAGGTGGGAGTCGGGTTTGTATCCTCTGTCATGGGTGGTGTTGGGAAAGGGTAGATTCAAGGTCTTATTTTGGCTCGCTGGTGGAGTTTGGCTCACAGCTGTAGGAAACACTTGATTCAAGGTTATCAGAAATGCCATAAAACACCTTGCCTAATTAAGTTTCAGTTGCCAAGTCACCTGGAAAGTTCACATGAAACTGTTGAATAAGAGAGGGGGAGCTTACTGAGTACCATAATTCCACCTATGACCTTGCAAAAGACCTCTGGAAAAACACAAGTGGCTCCACCCCTGAAAAAATTTACTTTAAAGCCTGTTTGAGAAATCTAACAACTCTGCTTTCCTGGAGACCATATATAAACCGCCCTAAGGTCACAGCCGGTTTCAGATTGTAGCAGAGGCATTTGAAAGTCCTCTACCACTTTGAGGCTGCGAGCAGAGTCCTGTGAATAAAAATATTTACGTGCCGCTCTTTCACACGGTAGGTTGGTTTCTATATATCTGATATTACGCTTGTTAGATATAATTTAAGCTCATGGAGGGGGTGGTGCAAGAGAAGGACTTTTCAGTAACGTTTCTGCCTGAGCTGGGGCAGATATGGTCATGCTCTGTGGAGTTCTGTAATAAGGAACTTCTTGTGGTTCACTCTTCTCAGTTTTCAGCTTACTGGTCACCCCATTCCTGATCCAGCACTGGTAAAGAGGTAAAGGACCAGACATCTTGGGTCAGAGCAAGGGTATATCTAGCTCAGTATCCTGAATCCATGGAAATTAATAGATGAGGGTCAGGGAAAAGAATAAGAAAAGAGCAAATGTGCAAGGTGACTTTTCAAGCCTGCAGTAGTCCTCAGCTCAGACACTTCCCCAGCCAAAGACAGGGTTTGTGTTTTAGAGGCCATGACAGCTTTCTCCCTCATGAATCCTTTTAGCTGCTTGTCCTGCCTGCCTTATTTAAAATGCTAATTATTTTAAACTGACTCCATCAAATGCCTAACAATCAAAATGGAAATACCACTGCTATCCCTAAGCCTGTGGTGCATCTGAAAGAAGGTCAAGCATCCTCATCACTACCAGCATCACAGGGAATTTTTCAACTCTTTTCTCCAAAAAGAAAGAATCAGCATAGCTCCCCATCAGTATCTGCATTGCTACAGCAGCAGCCAGGGTGCCAATAAGATAGAGGTGTCATCCCTTGTGCTTGCTGCTACCATCTGCTTGGCCCTTTCTCTTTCTGTATCCATGTGGCTGCAAGTTCATTGTCTGGGGTTGGACACTCGGAAAACGCAAACTGAGCAGGAGGACACACATTTCCCAGTGTCAGCTGAGATCCAGGACCCCAAGCTGGACCACTTTGGGTTAAACATCTGACCTAATTAGGGGAGAATAATCCTGCTGCGAGCCCAGAGGAATTACCAAAGAGCTGCATATTTATGTGAAGTTGGATGGGGACAGGGACATGTAGGAAGTGCAGCAACACTTATTTCCCTTCCAAATCCCCCGCAAGACTAAAGCCCAGCTCAGCATTGCAGGTGGTTGAGCAGAGTATGTGCCCAGCTGCAGGTCCTTTGATGTGGGAAGGTCCTCAGAGCAGAAGGGAGCCAGATGTTATTCTGAAATAGGGGCTTCCAGCCTCTAGGTTGCTTCAGGATTTTTCTCCTGTACCAGTGCAAAAGCTGTGCCCGTAGCCAACACAGGTAGGTTGGAAGAGGTGGCCTTGTCCCAACACCATGCCTCAGTTCCAAGAAAACTTTGCTGTGTGAGCTGATTAGACATGGAGTAGGTTTCGATCCCTGCTTAGATGAGATAAATTCTCCCACTGCTGCCTCCTCTAGGCACCTGAAACCTATTTTAGATTTCACTCTTATTCCTCTGTTGATTTTTCCATATCCAGGAGGACAGAAGTTGTCCCCTCCTTGGCCTCTCATAGTCCCCTCCTCTGCCAGCCGTGTCCTACAAGCACAAAAATGACTCCAGGCCACGATGAGCTTTCTCCAAGTTGACTGTACCTCTGCATTTTCCCTCCAGGTGAGCAAGATCCCTCCACGTGAAATCCTCCCCACGATGCTGTTGCTGCTGCTGCTGCAGGTCTCGGCGAGCTGCCTCTGGCTGGGATGCAGCGAGGTGGTGACATCCTTTGAAAGATCGTGCCCTCAGTTTTTTTTCCGGGAAACCCCCCCAAATGAAGCGCTGGAGCCGGAGAGCCCAGCCTGGATCTGCCAGCGTTACAGGAACCGGTATTACTTTGCCACCCTGTACGACAGGAACAGGCGTATTCCCGTCTACTCTGCTTACCTCTACCAGCCTGGACCTGGCAAGAGACCCAAGACGTGGCTGGTTGAGCCCCAGGTGAGTGTCCTCTCTTACACCGCGTCACCCTCCAGTCATTAAAAGATGAACTGGAGCGTTTAACCAAACAGTTCTTTTTTCCTCCCACCCACACACACATGCAAATGGACCCACTGGATGGGATTTATCTCGTCTAGCTTCAAACACCTTCACCACATGATTCCTCTGATGAGTTTGAGACATCAGCAGGAGGATGAGATGAGTCATATCCTAAAAGTGCCCATTTTTCCACATTGACCTTACAGGAACATTAAGTCAAACTGCATTACATTACATTACATGAATTTACATTACATTAAGTCAAATTGCCCTCCTCTCTGTCCCATGCTGTGATGGGGGGACTAAACAATGGGAAAAAAAGACATCCAACAGCAGCTAAATTTGAGGTACCAACTGTGCTGGGCTCTGGTCTCCACTTCACCCTGAACTGTTTTGCATTCCTGATGTAGCTTCTTTGCTCCCAGTTAAGAGTCAATTTGGCTTTGCAAGTGGCGTGAGAGAAGTGCAGAGAAACTCAGAACTGGGTGAGATGACCCAGTGAAAAATTCTAGGCACAGGCACTCAGTGATGAGAGCATTAGGTTAACACTGGGTGAATTTATTGAGTGATATTTGAGGCAGTGAATATGAGTAGGATCTGTATTAGTCAAGCCAGAAGTGCATGATCTCCATCTACGGGCAGTTGCCCCTTACCACCACTGCCTCAGGCTTGGTTCAGAAGGATCCACCAGACACACAGATCTCCACAGACTGCAGAGCCTTCCCAAATGTCCTTCTGACAAACTGCAGATCTTCGGTAAAAAGATCAAGCACATTATAGAACAGAAGAGGAAATTCAGGTCATTGCTGGGGGCACAGTAGCAGTAGAGAATTTAGGTGAAAATGAGCCACAGAAGCAAGCCATATGCCCCGTCCCAGAGGAAGGCTAAATATGTTTCCCTAAATATGAAAAGAAAGGTGTTACAGTTATGAAAAAAAAAAAAAAAGCATTTGCACTTGTTACTCATAGGAACTCAAGCAACTAATTTGTTGTTGCACCACTGCAGCCTCCAAATTTAGAGGGGGATAAAAAATATTTTTCTCCTGGATCATGGACCCAGGCCATCTGTGAAATCTGTGATTTTGCTAACTTTCTTCAGAGGTCTTTTGCAGTACATAGGTTGCCCAGGTCTCTTTGGGGGTTATAAGGTCCTTTCAGTGGCTGATCATTTCTAGCTTATTTTCAGTGATGCTGCAGAAGGAACACATCTGTGCTCCCTGGCACAGCTCATCACACGTTATTAGCACTGCAGTGGCAGACACCACTTGCACTGAGGTATTTTTGCTTACTGAGCAAAAAGCTTCATCTTTGCAATGAACTATAGCCCTCCCAGGGAAACTTCACCTTTAGGTGAGATTTTTTCTGACACATCTCCCTGTGTATGGGGCTAGAGGAGGCAAACACTGGTGTTTCAGGAATGTGATACACCTGCAGCAACCACACATACTTTTTTCCCAAGTGAGGGGCAAGGCAGAAGAAGGGGCTGAGTCTTCCTCATCTCCTCCTGGGAGACCTGTGGGCTCCACAGCTCTTCTGCTCATCCTTTTCCCATCCTGTCCACCTTCAAGGACTCCCTAAGACACCCAACCTTCAAAGAGAATATCTGTGTGCTTGTTTTCCCTAAGCTTGGAAAACACTAGAGTGTTGTCAGATTGGATCTAAAAAGGCATGAGAACCTTCATAGAGACTGAGACAACTCTTTTAAAAATGGGGCTGAACAGAGCAAAGGCCAGGGCTCATGGGAGCAACTGATGAAGGTTGGATATGATTAATGGGGGTGGGAGGAACTGGAGAGAGCCCTGGAAAGATGTGGGATGTGGAGAAAGGAGAAAAGGGAACCAGATGTGGCAGCAGAGATGTCTCGCCAAAGCCACCTCTCAAACCTCGAGTGGAAAATGCTCATTGTCTCATTAACCTACCCACACTCCCACCACAGACTGCGGGCTGGATTTCAAAGGTCACAAGTCAAATTGAGAGCAGCCAAATTCTGAGCTTTTTTTCTTTTTCTTTTTTTTTTTTTTTTTTTAATCTCTTGTGTTTGTCAGGGCGGGACAGCTTTATGACCTCTCTCTGCTTCATGCATTTTCACACAGAGATGACAAAAAATGGGTGCTCAACACTCAGAGACTTCTGCTCCAGGGCAATCTGCTCCATTACTCCCATTCCCAATACTAACACTTTTTCTTCTTTACCTGTCAAGCTGATGGGTCCAACTTATCCCAAAACTATGGAAAGAGAGTGGACCCTCTTAAATCATTTCAAAGTCAGCTCAGAGCAACTCAGCAAGAGCCAGGCTGTCCTCCAAGACTACAAGAACCTGACAGGTTTGAACCGTGGCCATTTGAACCCCAGCAGCCACCACCCCGACCCCAGCAGCAGGACGGCTACCTTCACCCTCACCAACATAGTGCCCCAGGATGAGAAACTCAATGGTGGTGCCTGGAACAACTACGAGCAGCAAACGATGATCAGGAGGACCCAGGGCTGTAACACCACCTACGTCATTGTGGGCGCCGTGCCCGGAAACAACTACATTGCCAAGGGGAGGGTTAATAAACCCAGCCACATCTGGTCAAGTGCTTGCTGTGAGGTGGACACCAACCGCAGGAAGGCTTGGGCGGTCATTGCTGAGAACGACAAGAACAAGGTCCAGCTCCTCACACTGGGGGAGCTGGAGGATGTGTTGACCCAGCTCTACAGAAGGGACCAGGTTTCTCTATTTGACAGCGACTGTCCCCGGGAATAAATCCCACTTCACATCCCAGGTGTAAAGGACTTGGGAGCTTTCACCACTAGCAGCATCGCCGCAACTCCTGTGCAGCATCTGTCCTGCTTCCTTCTCTAGCAGTTTTTCAGCTCTGTCCCTCAGAGCACCTTCTCTTCTGATAAAAGGGAGGAAGAGGTCAGCAGAGCCTCCAGCTGGTTTGCTTGGTGCTGCTCATCTTTGGAGGGAGCTCTCAGGGAGTTGTCCTTGCCCTGGCCACTCTGGAGGGGCAGGTTGGATAACAGACCATGGGCAAGGAAATCAGAGCTTCCCACTGGGAAGAGGGGCTTTACCTTTTTTTCCTTTTTTCTCTGTGCCCATATACAGATCATATTTCTTTCCTCTCCTCATTAGATATCACTGATAATGTGTTTCTGACTTGTCCCTCACCTCCTCAGGAAGGAAGGTGAGTCTAGGACAGTTCAGGTTGTCCAGAGAAGTTGCAGTCGCTATCTCTGCAGATACTCAAAACCCAACCAGATACAGTCCTGGACAACCTGCTCTAGCTGACCCTCCTTGAGCAGGGGTCTGGACTAGAGGACCTCAAGAGGTCCCTCCCAACCTGAACGATTCAGTGATTCTGTGATTGATCCTGGGGCCAGGAAAACAGAGATCTGAGGGTCTGTAAGGATTATCCTACAAATGCATTCTGAACAACACAGCCAATGACAACAGCAAAGGATAAAGGGAGAGAGGAAGGTGGAATGATGAAATACAACTAAGCGTAGGAAGAACATCCCAGATCTCTGTAGGTCTGTAAATAAATAAAACAAGGAGAAGGAAGGAAATAGCCTACATCTAATCACTAGGCTCCCTAACCCTGAACTTACACGGGGACTCTCTGTAAATTTGCTAGCAGGTTTTTGTTTGCTTACTTTTGAAACCTGCACCTTGAGAGCAGGAGCTGAGGTACCAGGTAACTAGGCTCAGCGATCAGATATACAACAAGGTTTGACCAGTCAAAGATAAATTTCTGTGATACACTGGTTGTATAATTTCATGCTCGGCTCTGCTTCTAGACCTTTCCTGCAAATTTATGTGTAACTGATTTTGTGAAATGTATTCAGTGGGTGTAAAAGATCAATGTATTCTGTATAATTTAGTTCTTGAGTAGTTTACAATATAAATTATTTGCTCCAGTGTTGGTTTGTAGGGTCATCTTATATATAAACCAGAAGTTGCTTCCCTCTGAAATTTCCGCTACTAGTAATGCCCTAGTACCTACAGCATCCTTGTAGGAGGTAGGGTGTCCAAATCCAATCTGAAGACACCATAACACCTACAGAAGCGTCACCATCAGACTCCAGTTACTTTTCATATGAATGTGCATGATCGAAGTGGGCCATGGTGCAAATGGCTCATACAAACTCCCTCACTTCAGAGATACCAGCCTGAGCCTGAACTTCTCAGCTCAGGAGCTGTTCATCAGCCTACGGGGTCTCATCGCCCACCCAGGAGAAGCCTCTTTGGTGGCTGCACAGGAACATGGGGTGGGGTTCAGGTGCAGAGTCAGACACTTACATGCAGGTGTCTCCATGTGTGCTGGATGCCCGAGCTCTGATTGCAGCTAGCAGAGATGCAGGCATGGCTCAGCTGCATAGAGGCATCCTGGACCACTTGAGACATCCTGATGTGTGCAAGACATGCAGTGGGGCTGGCTGATCTGCTGCGGGATCCTGGGGGGCACCCAAACCCATCTGGGCCAGCAGCCAGAGGCCAGGCATGTTCCCCAAGGGTATCTCCAGTGGCTCTGGACACCTGGGTGCAAGCCACCAGCTCCCAGTGCAGACCACTGCATCATGGACTTCTGCTCCTGATGTCTCCAGCTGCCATGGTGAGAGCAGCTATAGTGCTCGCTTGTACCAGCTGTGATGCTCAGTGAGGTAGGAGAATATTTTGCTTTTTAGGAGGACAAGCTAGGAACATCACTCACCCCCCCTTTTCTGGAGAGCCCCTGCAGTCCCAGGTCCCCTGCCCCGATGGATTTTTACCCCTCGGTTCAGATGCTGACACAGACCACTGATGGGGTGAAACCATCAGTGCTAGTTCAGGTTGAGGGAGCTCTGCAGAAACCCCTGGGGTTGCTCATGGGGCTTCGTCTGACTTGCTCAACTTCCTCATGCCCGCTGGGGCTTGAAACCCACACTCATCCTCACCACCGCCCGTGCCATGCCCTGCCACCCTTGCTTTGCAGGCTACGCAGGAATCTCCCACTCCCTCACCACCCCCATGAGTCACCCCTCCATCAGCTCCCTGGGATCCCCCCCAGGACCTTTTCCCCTGGCAGTACCCAGAAATGCTCTCCCCTCCACAGCAAGCATGTGAAATGCATGGGAAGCCAAAAATAATAAATACATCAGGTTGGACGCTGCGTTCCATATCAGGGGTGCTTCACACAGCACCCCAACTTGGAGCTGAGCAACCCCACGGTCCCCATCTCCAGGAGCATCCTCCCAAGAAGATTACATCTGTGATTTTCTCTGGTTTCTGCTGACCCTGGCTGTGAATGGGGAATAGGGATACAGCCCTTTGGTGAGCCCAGAGCTGCTCCATGCATCATGGATGTGCCACTGGTAGGGTGGGAAGATTCTCTGTCTGCTGGGGAGATACAGCTGTACTGAGATGGGAAGGCAGTTTCACAGTTTGCTCTCTGTCTGTCTTCGGGAAGAGCTCTGGGCACTAGTGGATCGCTGGGATTTTAGATACAAAGGAAAAATTATTTTGCCCAGGAGCGGTGATGGGGTGCTGGGAGCTAAACCCTGTTAGCTCTGTAGCTCATTGTATCACCTGCTGGGGTTGTTTGAATGAGCATGCGGCTCGCAGAGGGCCCTACCACTGTCTAAGCTCACTTCACTTGCAAAGGGCTGGATCGTGCATTTTTGCTTAGTCCTTTTCCAAAAACACCAATGATTCAAATTCCCTGAACCGATCAACATGTTGCTACATCCTTTTCCAAAAAAAAAAAAAAAAAAAAGGAACCAAGAAAATCAAGATAGTGGCATCGTCTGGCCTCTGCCTGAGAAAGTAGCTGGGCAAAAGTCCTTTGGTGCATCCAGATTTGAGCAGCCATAACATTTCACAATAGTAAATAAAATATGCTGATCTGCAAAGCTCTCCAGGAGCATTTCTGGCTGCCACATGGGCTGGGAGCACCTTACTGGGGTTTTCCATCTCCTGGGCAAAGGAAATGCCATCTCCACCTGCGGGGTTGGACACACTAAGGTTATTAGATTGGTCTATTTCATGTAGGCAGCAAACGTACTGCGTGCCATTCTGCATGAAACACGTGCTGTTTGTGGCACAGCCAAGCTGATTTCCTCACTGCTTGTCCAGGGGAGTGCACATCTGTTAATCTCACCCTGCAGGGACAGGCTTTTTCCTGGGAAATGAGGCTCAAAGCCATGAGGGTCCTTCCTGAGTCTTACGGGAGGTCCCACTGGGAATTTGCTGTCTTCAGTTAAAGGTGGATCTACAAAAAGGAAAAAAAAAAAAAAAACAAAACATTTCCATTAACATATCTGCTTTATCTTGCCAGGAGCTACTAGAAGAGAGGAATGTTCACTTTATTGAAAAACAAACAGCTTTATTTTCACATGTTATACATTGTTGTTGCAAGGTCACCAAATAAGCTGAAAATCCTGGAGACTTGAAAAAGAATTCTCCCTCTTGATTCTTCATCCAAATATGTGAAAATTATTGTTGTCCAGTTAAATGGAGGAACAATGAATCATGGATCTTTGCATCTCTACAGCATCTTCAGTGCCCTTTCTTGAATGAAAGGGCTAAAATCATGGTCAGCAATTCCTACAGCAAAATCCAGCGGGGTATAAACAGAAGGGTTCTGGATATACGAACTAAAGGTTTGAGACAGCAGAAAAGTCTTTTGAGAGCTTATAAAAGGGGAACGGCACCATCCAAACAACTGGGTCATTGAACGTATTTGCATAGAGATAGCAAATGAGTAGAAGGGGGAGAGGAAAATTTATGCCAGACCAGCCATAAACTGGGCTTGGAGGAAACCTTCAACAGGAAAGAACATGGAGATCTCAGATCTGATGTGGAGGAATTCATAACATTTTAAACTGGGGAAGAGAGTTAACACTGCACATGCTGAGTTAACACTGCACGTGCCGAAAGGCTTTATGCTGTGTCTGTATGATTTTACACAAGTCTCAGGGTATTTGCTGGCAATACTTCTTTCTCACATGTCATAATGATACCAGTGAGATTAATATTTTCAGACCCAAGATGCCAGATCTCCTACTGTGAACTAATGCTTGTTTTCTAAGTATCACATTGGCTTCTGTAAAGTACTTATCATGTAAATTTGTACTCTGTTTCTGACAAATTACACAATCACATGTCTTTTGCCAGTTGTGTTAGCTGAATCTAATCTTTTTCCGAGTAACCTGCTCACATTTTCTTCGTTCAGTAAATGAAGACTTCTTTTAACAAACCGCTATGTGCGTAAATGGTAAACAGTAATTTTCTCCTGGGGGTTTGAGATGTTGCTCTGAATGTTTGGAGCACTGGACGGGGACTGAGACTGGTTTACAAAATCACCATGGTGCCACTGTTTCCAATCCAAAAAATGATGATAGAATTATCTTCCTTTTACTGTGCACTGTGACTTAAGGCTAAAAAGGAGAGCATAAGAACCTTCAGTTTTATTATTTTCCTCTTACAGCACCCTAAATCAGAACTTTACCAAGGATTGAGGGAATTTGAGCAGCATGAAAACACTAAAAATTGGAAGAGAAACCTTCGGTTTTGAGCAGAGCGAGCTGGCAAACAGGGCTACTCGTGCACAGGAAATTTTGTCATTTCAAAATGTGGTTTCAATCTGAATCAGAACAAAACCCCAAGAGTTTCCAAATTCCCCTTGAAATAGAAATTCTGAGAATTTTGGTCTGGAAACGCTGAAGTAGGGTGTTTCTGATACCCACCTCCCGCCCCAGACCTGCCGAGCGAAATCAACTTTCTTGTCAGCTTGCAGCGCTGCCACCACCAGCTTCCCTGAGGAGGGGGGAGGTTTCATGGGGACACCTACGGTGACATCTCCCCGGGAGCCTCTCCGAGGATCACCGGGCTCTGAGCATTGATCTGAGAGCCCTCATCACTGCTGGACTTCTTGGGCATTGCACAGCCGGTCCCTGGCGGTACTTCAGGTGGTTGGAAGGGCTGGCTTAGGAAGACGGGGGAAGGTGGAGGCTGTTGGCTGGGGTGAAGAACCAGTTTAATTTCTTGCAAAAGGCCAAAACCATTTATGCAACAGAACTTTGCCCTCCAGCCATGCGACTGCACCCTCCTCCCACATGGACCTCCCCGTGTCTGGGATGATGCCTCTGGAGTCTCTTGACAGACAGGGTTGTATTTGGTATGGGTATGAATGCCACAGCTCTAAAAATGAAATCTAGTTAGGGAATATCTTCCCTGAATTTCTTCTGCAGAAAGACTGTAGGAGGAAATAATTAGAGAATTAGAGACCTGGAAATGACTGGTGGAGTTGGTGCTTGCTAGAGTCCTGAGGTTTTTGCTCACATGCCTTTATACTCCCCAAGTGAGCACATATTTGCCCTGCCATACTGTTATTCCTGTAGAAAAGGTAAAAAAAAAAATATCTAGAAAATGTGTAGGTACCTGCAGCATTAAGGCTGTGACTGAGAGGAAGATCTGCACTGTTTCACTGCCTCCTTGCACTCCTGTATAAATTGTCTAAGACATGGGCCATTTTTGGCCACCAAAGAGTACTTGTGCACAAAACTCCCACCTATTACTGGGTTTTATTTGCCATTGCAACCAAATACATAGTTAAATTTAAACTTAAGAAATTATTTTGTCTTAAGGTGGCAGGAAACATTTTTATCAGGTTTTTTCAGCAATGCTTTTACAGAGGTGAGTGACAGATTCTTCGAATCTTCATGGCTTCTAGAGCTGGAATCTGGCTCACTTATTGGGATATTTTACAGTAGGTGTTTACACGTGGGAGTAATTATGCAGGCTGGACACAAATAAATCATGCTGCTTGGCTTCCACCTGTCAGTTCAGAGGAGGATTGTCCCCCCATAGATGCCGTGTTGTAGCTTCCAGCCCTATGTATATGTCTCTGACACCCTTGGGTGTCTCAGACCATAGCAGAT